GCTGACTTTTCGATCGCTCACGATTAGGCTTTCTGCAGGCAATTATTTCTTCTGACTGGTATTATGACGGAAGCTATTCAAGAGAGGCCAGATTGACTGGCACTCACCGAACGTTTGACACTGACGTACGAAGGCCTGTGGGTATCCATACATTGAGAGTAAGAAATGCGGGTACATTAATTCCTCTCTTATCTCTTTTTCGTCACTAAAGTGGGACTTAACTGCTAGAAGGATTCCGACTCAACTGCGCTCTGACCAACAGTGTGATTTCTGTGCGATGCCTGCATTATGGAAACCGCACCATCTTTCAACTAGAGCCTTTTCGAAATTCCAAATGGTAAGTCGAGCGCGCGGACCGACAATGACACAACTGCAATTGGTCGTTTATCCAAATCATGCCTCCAAGGAATGTGACTGAAGTTAGTATCTTAGTTGGGCCCTTATTGCGCAACGATGAATCCGTTGGCGATCGCAGATGACAGTCGAAAGGTGAACGCCCTGAATTAACCGGGATACCCGTGAAATTCATACATGTGGCTGGCAAGTGCAGTAAATTATCGTATGGAGTAGAACTGTAGTTTATGAAACCAACCGCATAGAGTAGGCTAAGAATACACATCCAGAATGGAAGTATGCAAAATCGTGTCGCGAAAGTATAGGTCATTCCTAGGAGTCTCTGCTATCAGTGCATACGCGTGGGTCGTACTGACCTTGTCGGACCCATTCCCCCAAACCGGCCTGCTCCTTCGGAGTCTATGTTTCCTACCTGTGACATAGTGCTGAGCTGTTTATGTTGCCCCAGCAGCATGCTTGAAAGCCGCTAAAACAATTGACTCTATCGCTTTAGTTGCGCCAAATATTCCACAAATTCATCCGAATTATTGTCGCTCATAACGATTAACCCATCAACTGAGAGTAGCAGCATTGGTCCAACAGTGTAAATCTGCCCGAAACAAACCCCTCATAAAAGGGTTCAAAGTAACCATCCGGACCAATTTAGGCACTATTGCTATCTTCCCATTGAACAGACAGCTATCGTCCAGGCAACAATTTAAATAGTAAATACCTTTTCATTCTCGCGATAGAGCATTTTCTCGAATGAGCGGAACTGCCTGACAGAATCCTGAATCTTTTCGTTCACTCGCATCAGCTCAGCAAGCGCTGCCTGCTTTTCCTCAATGCCTCCTGACTTCGGATCCATTTTGTCCACGAAAGTTCCGATGTAGGCTTCCAGTCTTCGCTGCTGTCCCTCGAGGCGGTCACGAGTGGCCTACAAAAGAATGCAGGAGCTACAGATAATTACAAAATAAATACGGCAAACTGTCACTTTTGAGGGTTGGAGTTTGCTGGTGGCGCACATCCTGATGTCTTTCCGTAGTTATTGCTTTCAGATAATTACTTTGACATGACGGAGTTCGCTCAATTTGAATGAGTCTCAAATTTTTTAAATGTCAGCGTCTGGCTCACTAATTAAAAACGGCAGACATGACTGTTCGATTTGCAAGCTCACTGCTATGTTATGTTTTGGAAGTTTTTAAATGTGTGTCGGTTTCATTCAACAAACATCGGCCGAAAGTCTTCAGGTATATCCATAAAGATCAACTTATTGGATCATCACTAATGACAGCCCTAGCTCGCCTGCATACTCCTATCCACATAAGTTATCGATTTCAAAACCCTAAAAAGGCCTGCTAGGTGGCAAATCGCTATAGCCACAGAGGTCTTTGAGCATGCAATTTCAACCACAAACCACTGCTGTATGGAGGAATCTAAAGGCTAGGATTTATGTCCTTAGAGATCCGAACCACGTTCGGCCTAGAGCGCCTAGCTGTTGTTATGCAAAGTGATTCATTTACAAAACTTGTGGATAACAGAGGG